GTTTATCCTTCCTGGATTTCTTTTTGTACAAATGAACAGACATATGTATATTTTCTTATTTCCCCTTTCTTACACACAGGGTGGCATACTATAGATATTCTTTTGTACTTTGCTTTTTTCACTTAAGGTATCCTGGAAATTCACTCCATATTGGTTATAGAGTTTTTCCTTATTTTTTAAAAAAATTTTAGGGCCAGCCCTGTGGCTTAGCGGTTAAGTGCGCACACTCTGCTACTGGCGGCCCGGGTTCGGATCCTGGGTGCACACCGATGCACCACTTGTCGGGCCATGCTGAGGCAGCGTCCCACATACAGCAACTAGAAAGGATGTGCAACTATAACATACAACTATCTACTGGGGCTTTGCGGAAAAAAAAGGAGGAGAATTGGCAATAGATGTTAGCTCAGGGCTGATCTTCCTCACAAAAAAAAAAAATTTTAATTATATGGATGTACTGTAGTTTATTCAACCATTTTCTGCATATGGGCATTATATTGTTTCCAATATTTTGCAATTGAACATCTTGTCATATGCTTAGTGACCACTTTTATATCATATTTTAATGAATTGTCTGTTCATGTTTTTGCCCATTTTTTCTCCCTTTCCCATCAGTTTTTAAGAGTTCTTCATATATTAGTGATATTAGGCTTTTATTTGTCATATACATTGCAATATGTTCTCCCAGTTTGTTAGTTTTTCAGCTTTATAATTATTTTGCCATTCAATTAAAATTTTTTTATGTATTCAAATTTATTAACATTTTATTTTATTGTACCTGGATTTTGAGTAAGAGTTAGAAGAACCTTCCTTATACCCAGGTCATAGAGAAATTCACTCATGCTTTCTTCTAGTACTTGGTTTCATTTTTCTATACTGAGATCTCTGAGTCATTTGGAGTTTATTCTTGTGTATGATGTGAGGTAGGATTCTAATTTATCGTTTTCCAAATGGCTAACCAGCTGTCCCTACACCATTTATTAAAAATTCTGTCTTTGCCCCAGTGATTTGAGATGTCACCTCTATCACATACAATTTTCTCTGTGTACTTAGTCTGTTTCTATTCTAAGACATTCTATTTGGTTCTCCTGGTCTGTTGTCTATTCTATTAAAACACCATCTTGTTTTAATTATAGACTTTTGAGTATGTTTTAGTATCTGGTAGGGCTTGTTATTTCTTGTAGTTTTTCTTTTCCAGTGTTTTCTTGGCAATCCTTGCATGTTTGTTTTCCGTATGAACTGGTATCAACGTGTCTAGCTCCATGAATTTTTATTGGGATTATGTTAAACTTATAAGTTAATTTAGGGAGAACAGACATCTTGATGTTGAGTCGTTCTATCCAAGGACTAGAAATGTCTTGCCATTTGTTCAAGTCTATATTGTATCTTTCTGAAGTGCTGCAACGTATACTCTTTTTTTTTTTTTTTGTGAGGAAGATCAGCTCTGAGCTAACATCTGATGCCAATCCTCCTCTTTTTTGCTCAGGAAGACCGGCCCTGGGCTAACATCCATGCCCATCTTCCTCCACTTTATATGGGACGCCACCACAGCATGGCTTGACAAGTGGTGCATTGGTGTGCGCCCGGGATCTGAACCTGCGAACCCTGGGCCACCGAAGTGGAGCGCACGCACTTAACTGCTGCGCCACCGGGCTGGCCCTGCAATGTATACTCTTATAATTTTCTTTTTCTCCTTGTCACCTTATTTTATGTATTTGTGTTTTCTTCCTCATTTTTCTTGAGTAAATTAGCTAGAGGTTGCAAAAAACAAATAAAAAGTACCCAGGAATTTGACTTATTAATTGGGCCTATTGTTTTTCTATTCTGTACCTCATTAATTTCTGCTTTTATCTTCAAAAATTTTTTTCCTTATGCTTTCTTTTGGTTTACTTTGCTGTTTTCTTTCTAGCTTTTTTTAATTTTTTGGCTGAGGAAGATTCACCCTGAGCTAACATCCATGCCAATCTTCCTCTATTTTTCAGTATGTGGGCTGCCACCACAGCATGGCTGCTAGCAGAGTGGTGTAGGTCTGCCCCTAGGGAACCGAACCTTGGCCGCCGAAGCGGAGCACGCCTAGTGGTTACTAGGCCACTGCGGTTAGCCCTCTTTTTTGAGCTGACAGTTTGGTTAATTTATTTATTTTTTTGTGAGGAAGATCAGCCCTGAGCTAACTTCCAATGTTTATCCTCCTCTTTTTGCTGAGGAAGACTGGCCCTGGGCTAACATCTGTGCCCATCTTCCTCCACTTTATATGGGACGCCGCCACAGCGTGGCTTGACAAGCGGTGTGTCGGTGCATGATTGGGATCCAAACTCATGAACCCCGGGCTGCCGAAGCAGACCGCGTGCACTTAACTGCTCCACCACCTGGCCAGCCCCATGAATTGTGGCTTTTAGCATTGAAAGTGTCCTTCTTTAAATTATTTTCAATTTCAGGATCACCATCTCTGCTGTCTTTTTATCTCTACTCACTTTACATATATACCTTTACCCATCCCTGTAATTTTAACCTCTATGAATCACTTTGTTGTCTCCTATGTAACATAGTGGGGTCTTGCTTTGTGAATCAATTTAAAAATCCTATCCTGGGGCCGGCCCGGTGGCGTAGTGGTTAAGTGTGCGCATTCCACTTCGGTGGTTGGGGTTCGCCAGTTCGGATCCTGGGCGCGGACCTACTCACCACTCATCAAGCTGTGCTGAGGCGGCGTCCCACATAGAAGAACTAGAAGGACCTACAACTAGGATATACAACTATGTACTGGGGCTTTGGGGAAAGGAAAAAAAAGAAAAAGAGAAAGATTGGCAACAGATGTTAGCTCAGGGCCAATTTCCTCAAAAAAAAAAAAAAAAAAAGATTTACCAAAATGTAAAAAAAAAAAATCCTCTCCTTTTTTAATAATTGAGTCAAGCCCATTCATATTTTTTGATATGATTGATAGGATTAGTATGAATTCTCCTGTTTTTTTGTAATTATTATGTGTATTATGTTTCATTTGCTATGTTTCTTCCCTGTGTGATCTTTTCTTTGCTTTTTACAAAAATTTTATATATTTGGGAAGGTTTGCATTTTTGTTCTACTGATTATCTTTGGGCTTACCCCTTTTTGAAATGCCCATAGTTCCTTATTTCCTTATATAACCTTTTAATTGTTAAGTCCCACCTATTGGCTACACAACAATCAGTGAGTTTCCTTTCCTTTCCTCTTTCTCTTCTCCCCCCATACTTTTAGTTGCATTTTTTCGACTTGTCAGAACAGTTCATCAGTCCTTCACTGAAGCATTCATCTCTTGGTTGGATGTAGCTTGGCCCCTAGTAGATTCTTCAAGAAGGGGTATGGGTGTAGGATTTCCTGAGTTCTTATATGTTTAGAAGTATTTTTTTGTAGCCTTGACACCTGGAGGTCAGCTTGGTTGGAAATAAAACCATGGTTCACATTTTCCAACCTTGAATTTTTTTAAAATACAACTTTATTGTTGCTTGCTTTGTATGTTGTTGTTGAAGTCTGATGCCAGTGTAATTCTTTGGACCTTGTAAGGTATTTGGTGTTTTTGCAGAGGCTTTGAGGGTGTTTCTTCATCTTTGGAGTCTAACAGCTTTATTAGGATATATCTCAGAGTTGAGTGTTTCAGGTCAGTTTTGCCAGGTCCCCAGTGGATCCTTTCGATATGTACATTCAATCTTCTTTTACTTCTGTGAAGTTTTCTTGGGTTATATTCTAAATATTAGTTCTGTTCCATTGTTTTGTTTTTCTTCTTGAGGGACTCAAATTTCATCCTTGGTCTGAGTTCCGTTCCAGCCACTTGCTGCTTTGCATTTCTTCCCTTTCTGTTTTGTCCAGTTATTTTTACTTTTTGAATTTCTGATTCAAGGTGTTTTGTCACATCCCAAAAGTTTGCTTGAGAAAATTTAATTCAGTTACAGTGTTCTTCTATTTTGTGGTTGTGTTTTGGGGGAGAGTTTTTATTAGCTGAGGTGTTTTTAACTCTTTTTTTTGTTTTGTTTTTCTATAGTATCTTTGTATGGATCTGTTTAATTTTCATATTCATTTTGTAGATTTGGGGTTATTTACAAGATTCCTACTTCAACTGCACCCACTTCTTTGATCTGGTAGACATTTTTCCATCTTCCTCTCCACATAAGTTTTAATATTAGGTGTACAATTAAATATATTAAATTGATTTGAAGTTTGGGTATTCTGTATTCTAGTTATGTTGAAGATTTTTAAAAAAAATTTTTTATTGATGTCATAATAGTTTATAACATTGTGAAATTCCAGTTGTACATTATTATTTGTCAGTCACCATATAAATGCGCCCCTTCACCCCTTGTGCCCACCCCCCAACTCCCTTCATCCTGGTAACCACCAAACTGTTCTATCTGTCCGTGTGTTGGTTTATATTCCATATATGAGAGAGGTCATACAGTGTTTGTCTTTCTCTGTCTGGCTTATTTCACTTAACATAATACCCTGCAGATCCATCCAGGTTGTTGCAAATGGGACGAATTTGTCTTTTTTTATGGCTGAGTAGTATTCCATTGTATATATATACCACAGAAGATGTGTTTTTTTGTGTGTAGCTTTTCTCATTGTTAATTCTTCATGTTGTTGTGTATTGTTTGTGGAGGATATGTGGGGAGATTTGGATAAAGGCAACTGCCATTATCCTCTGCTACCTGTAAGTCTAACATATTTTTTGTCATTCTGCCTGTTGGATGGAGAATGGATTGTAGGTGGGCGAAAGTAGGATTAGAGGAAACTAGAGGTTCAGGAGAGGGTATGTGTGACATGACCAGGAGTAGAAGTGGTGAGAAGTAGTTGGATTTGGGATATATGTTGAAGATGGAGCTGACAAGATTTGCTAAAGGATTGCATGTGTGGGGTGAGGCAATGGGAAGAGTCAAGTATGACTAGAAGGGGTCCAGTGGATACTCACTGGCAGTCTCTCTCGAAGGGAGCTGGCTGGAGACTGAGCTATGCTCCTGAGTGCTGCTGTCTCTCTCAAGGTTACAAGCCTGAAGAAAGGAAACGAGGGGATGCTTGTGAGGGCGACAGTGGGGGACCCTTTGTCATGAAGGTAAGTTTCTCTAAAGGCCAGGAGCTGGGGGGTAGATCTTCTGGGGGGTGGCGTGGGTGAGGAGGGAACCCCAGTTTTCAGAAACAGTTGCCTGACAGGGTAATACTGACACTGCCTTGGACTTGACTCTATTGGAAATCCCATGTTTCTTCCTCAGAGCCCCTATAACAACCGCTGGTATCAAATGGGCATCGTCTCGTGGGGTGAAGGCTGTGACAGGGATGGAAAATATGGCTTCTACACACATGTCTTCCGCCTGAAGAAGTGGATAAAGAAGGTCATTGGTCAGTCTGGAAGTTAGAGGGCTACCCACATTCTAGGCTCCTCACTGCAAAATGACAGAAACCAATCCAAAGAATTATTTTTGTGGTTTGTTCTTAAAACTATAGTTCTCAATAAAAGTGACTTTCTCAATGAGCCTCAATGCTTCCAGTGCTGTTCACGGGCAGCTCAGGAAGAGCAAGTACCACTACCGGGTAAACAGCACTTACAGGATCCCCACCTCCTAGAACAGGGCTGGGTGAGCGGGGAGATGGCAGCCTGAATTTATGAGCATTTAAAATGTTCCAGACTTGGGGCTTTAATGGAGTATCTTATTTAATCCTCACAAGAGGCAGGTGAGTAAACTGAGACTTGGAGAAGTACCTTGTTCAAAGTCACAGCTAAGAAGGGTCAAAGTCGGACTTGAAACAGAAGACCCTGAGGCCTGTGCTTTTAGTTGCTCTGCTGTGAGGGCTGTAACGAGCTTGTGCCAGGACTAGAGAAGAGGCAGGAGGAGGGTAGGGGTAGGAGGGGTGAGTAGATACGTCTTTCTCTTTACCTCAAACTTTCCTAATAAGTCCCTACATCCTTCCTCATGTCATTAAAATGTCAGATTTATGGCCCCCAAAGGCTCAGTGTTTTTAAATGTCTTCACTTCAGAGTACTGTGGGATATAGTGGTTAGCAGTGTGGGCCCTGGCATCAGGCTGCCTGGGTTCATATGCTGGCTCCAACCTTAAAAGGGATACCCATGGTTAAGTCACTTGACCTCCCTGGGCCTCAGTTTCCTTTTATATAAGATGTATATAATGACATTACTTACCTAATAAGGTTTTGAGGATTAAACTAGGTAATTTGCATAATGTACTTAGCAAAGCGCCTGTACTCGCTAAGCTCTCCACAGTCACTGCTGCTCTTATTCTCATTGCCTGCGTGGTGCAAGTTCCTCTGCCACTTACCACTTCCCTGCTCTGGCTCCTGCAAATAGCATACTGCTGGGGTTGTTGCTTCCTGGAATTTCGGCTCACACAGCAGTTATCAGACTTGAGCAATTTGTTTTTCTACGAAATGGGACCTAGAGGGTGTATAAGTAAGTGCATTCATAAAGGGTTTGGAGAAATGTAAAAAAGTCATGAGTCATAGAACTTTAAAGATGCCCTTTCACAGCACATTCTTCAAGGTTACCATGGGCAGAGGTCACTGGAATGGGATGGAGCATGGCTCACACACGCTGCCCTTCCACGGAGCTCCACCCAGTTTCCAGCCGTGCCAGGGCCTATGGCTGTTCCTGTTAGGGTATTTATGACTCAGGGGGAACTAGGCACTGTGGCCTACAACAGGTATGAGAGTCAGTTTCAACTGGTGCGAAATGCTCATCACTTGATAAGCCTCTCATCCCTGAGCTGGGAGGGGAACTGTGAAGACTGAACGTCTGCCTTGGGCACAGGACAGAGGAGTGGAGCATGGATGCCACGTGGTTACCACTCTTGGCCTGGGAGCTTCAACCAAGATCTTTAAACTTCCTGGTTTAAAGCGGGAAGGGACCTAAGGTAGGTATTTTCACCACCTCGCCCCCTCACTTTTGTTTTCCTTCCCATTTTCCAACACATCAGGAAACAGAGAATTAAGACTGAGTGCCTTGCCCCCATTCTTTGGTTGTGGTTGACCAGAAAGCAGGGTAAAAACTGGGACTTCAGTGAGCTTGTAGGATCTTGGCAACCTAGAGCTTTAACCAGAGCAGGGGGAAGGGATTAAGAATGTTATAATACCCCAAATCTGCTTTTTAAACAGGGGCACACCTTCTCACAAGGCTGCTTCCCTCCAACATAGCTGTCAGCATCGTAAGCTCGGCACTTGGGTTTTTCAAATTAGCTGTGCTAATTCCAGACCCAAGCACAGCCATGCTCTCTAAATATGTTCTTCTTCTATAGCAATGAACTCCCCCATCGTCCCTCCAGTGGACGCCTACTCCCATGTTCCCATTATGAGGAGGAGAGGCAAGTTAATTTCAGGCAGTGTGGGGGCCAACTGAAGATCATGACTGGAATCAATAGAGGGTTCATTTTCTATCAGGCTTTCAGTTCTTGAATACCAGCTGAGTACAAGATAGCTAGAAAAGTTCCTTTGAACTCAATGATTGCCCAAAAAGTCTCCCAACAAATTCAGAACCTCTTAGTCTTGAAGAGTTTTTTTCACTATGGAGGGAGGCCCTGTGGAATTTACTCCAGAAGTGAATTTTCAGTTTATTTTCTGGTCCTCACTCAGACTGAATGTGAAGCAACTGTTAGTCTGGACTAAAAGACCCCAATAACCAGGCAGGATGCTCATAAGCACTCCCATTCTCCTCTAGTCAAATGACCCCAAGTCCAGTCCAGTGGAGAACCACGGTAGCCTAGCCAACATGGGGGACAATCTCGTGTATCTGGGCAGCAAAGTGGTAGGAAACCTCAGAACTCCTTGGAAGCATGGCCATGATGGGAGGAACATCATGACCCAAACCTCCAAACAGGGAAGAATGAGGTTTCTTTGCTCCCCTTGGAGCTGCAGTGGGAAGCAGAGAAGGTGGGGTCCTCTTATTCCCAAGGAGTAAAAGACAGCACCACGTCTGTGAACCCAGGAAAGGTGGAGCTCTCTAAGCAGTAATCATTCACCTTTCTCCAACGGGCTGCATACCCACTGGTCCTGAGAACAGGTGACAGAAAGAGCTGCCCAACACTCCCAGATACGGAGCATCTTGGGAGACAGTTATAGTTAATGCAAACTTTATTTATAAAAGACTCTTAAATTAGTTGTATCATGCCATGCATTCATACAGAATACAGTGACCCTTCAGGGCTACAGGGAGAAGAGCTCACAAACTCAAAGGAAAACTAGTAAAGAGTTTCTAATAGTTAAAAGCTAGGAAAGATTAGGACGACTTTACAAATGAGCAATTAAAAATAAAACAAAAGAAAAAGGATATGGAAATTAGTCTGAGCTGAGAGGAGGGCAGCTGTTTACAAGTCTGTACACTAAACTAATCCACAGACAGTCTTCTAGAGGCAGGGTGCTGACGGAGAGAAGCAGAGTATGTACAAACACTTGTGCCACAGCGACTCCTCCCCAGATCCACGGTAGGATACATACAACCAGGTTGTGTACACTGCCCAGGCCGCTTGTAACTAGGAGGACTTCTAGTTTAGTAAACTAAAGCTGCAGGGAGCCAGGGGAGTAAGCAGCTTCATTTGCGACTGCTCTTTATTCTCTCCAGTCTTTTTTTCAAGTCATCAATATTAGCTGTGGAGGAGGAGGATGTGGTCACGGTTCCTGACGAGTGAGTCTGGTTAGAATCCAGGTCTGAATGCTGGTGCTGCTCCCGGGACTCCCGGAGCTGAGAGAGTTTGCTGTGCAGCATGTCCGTGGACGAGGCAACGGTAGGAACTGCTGGTTTGGAGAGCAAAGAGGTCAGCGGAGGTCGGTCATCTTGCTGTCGAGAGAAGAGACATTGTCTCAGCAGGTCAAGAGGCAGCTCTGGAACAACACATACCGAGACTGGGCTGCCTCCCTGGGCCAGCCTGTCCCTGAGCGGCTTCTCCTTGCCCTCCCTGACCCACACAGAAGAAAGGAGCAGTACCTTTGTGTTGTCCAGACCACATCGCTGTCGGAGGATTTTCAGCCTTTCCAGGTAGACAGACGGTCCCACCTCTTCTCCATTTGTGTTGCCTATGGAGGACATTGTGCTTGTGGGAGCGGGCACACAGGTGACCTCCATCTGAGGGGAGATGCCTAGAGAGGAATGCAGAAAGAATCTTCAGGTATACACAGCCCACTTCTAGACTGCCCTGGCTAATCTGCCACCAAAGGGAACAATCTGGGGCTTAAACACCGCCACTGTACTTGAAGACTAAAAAGTCCACAAGGATCCACCTGTAGTTGGTGATCAAGGGTGCTCTGAAATACACTCAAGGTAAGTTTAGTGAGAACTTCACGAACTGATACAGAAGAGCAGAATGTAAGCTGGGCCACGCAGGAACATCCCGGGCACTGCAGGAGTTGCACCTGTAACCCCACAGCTGGCCCGGGCAATCCAGAAAGCCCAAGCTCCCCCTGCGGGTATGCTCGGTGCCCAACTGAAGGACCTAGGACTTGAAACATCTGCAAGAATTGACATAGGGGAAAGCTCTTCTTCAAACCAGGGAGGACGGCAACGTGCTCAAGGCTACAGTGTACTCATGAAGAAGGGGGGAAACTGAGGTGCCCAACAAACACCCAAAGAACGACTAGAACTGGAGCATCTGTAACCCCCAGCACTGAGACGGGAAAACCAAAACAAAAAAATCCCTCAGTTCTTAAATTTCTGAGAAGGAATAATCACAAAATGCAGGCATTTAAAATACCCAATTTGATATCAATGAAAATGCATTACATTAACCAAAAAGATAAGGTACTGGGAAGAAAAACTCCCTTATGGTAAACAAAACAGGTTACTCCAGGGCAGAAGGAATCCCTTAATGTAAAGATGAGGAGAACACTCTGAGAGGGTGAAAAGTGAATGAAGAATAACGTAAAGCCAGCAGTAAGGGATTTTGAATACTCTAAGGCATGAAACATTCAATGAGCAGTGGGGTCACATACTTATGTTGCAAATGTGCTGTTTAGGCCAAAAGTACCAATTAAATTTTGGCCATCACCAGAAAGTACTTTAGAAATGAGAAAAGGAGGCCTTGCCCTGATCACCCAAACCGTGTGTGTCCACATGCAGCACGCCGTTAGACATTCTGCTCATTGCGTGTCAAGAAAAAGACGCCTAAGGTCTTGGCGATGGGTAATTTAAGGTGTTAAAAACAAATTTAAAAAAATGACTTAAGAGAAAACAATTGAAATGAAGCTTCAGTGTAGCAAGATACACGAGAGAGAACACGATTGGAATCTGAAAATCACAAAGGAATATGGTTTTACAGGCAAACAAATTCTAAACTGTAGGAGTAGCTGAGCTTCACTGAACTCAGAAAGGACAAATGTGCTCTACTCTGCACCATGAGAGGGAACTTCTGCAGCTGGGTCTTTTTTTAGTTTAAGGCTCTTGATGGCTATTTTATGTAACGGACACCTTCTAAGTCTTCCTTTTGTTTCTAGATCCTGTGCACAGAAATTCTCAGATATTGGCTTTTTCACTGTGGGGACA